TAATATCCAATACAGGGATGTTAAAATAAATCACATGGTATACGTAGTGAAGGGACTCATAACACCCTTGCTTGGTCGTCCAGCAATACAGGACTTAAAAATTTTAACTTTTGTTAATTCAGTTGCAGAGGTAGACAGTGACTTTTTTACCGAATACCATGAAATGTTTAGTGGTCTGGGCGTCATTCCTGATCCCTACACAATAGCACTTAAGGATGGCGCAAAACCATACGCAATAACCACTCCTAGGACAGTACCTTTACCCCTAATGTGTCAAGTGAAGAAAGAACTAGAAAGTATGGTACAAAATAATGTAATCACACCAGTTGAGCATGCTACTGAATGGTGCTCAGCAATGGTAGTAGTGCCTAAATCTAATGGAGATGTCCGCATATGTGTTGACTTAACAAAGTTGAATGAATCCATCCAGCGGTCTTATCATCCGATTCCCAAAATTGAAACGTCTCTCAGCTCAATCTCAGGAGCAAAATGGTTTTCAAAACTTGATGCAAACAGTGGTTTTTGGCAAGTCCCCTTAAATGTAAATTCCCAGGATCTAACTACTTTCCTTACCCCTTTTGGACGTTTTAAATTTCTCAAACTTCCATTTGGAATCACATCAGCACCTGAACATTTTCAGAAATGCATGAACAAAATCTTAGACAACCAGTCAAATGTCGCAGTCCATATGGACGATATTCTGATTTGGGGCAAAACGAAAGAAGAACATGATACAGTTGTTCGGCAAGTACTTGAAAAGTTTAAAAATGTAGGAATGACACTTAACAAAGACAAAACTGAGTTTGGTAAGTCAAGTATTAAATTCCTCGGGCATTTCCTCTCATCCGATGGAATTTCTGTTGATAAGGAAAAGGTTTCCGCCATTCTCAAAATGGACTGCCCAAAAAACGTAAAAGAACTTCAAAGGTTCAATGGGATGGTAAACTTTCTTGGTAAGTTTATTCCTGACAAAGCTAAGATTTTGGCCCCAATGAATTCACTACTTCAAGCTAACGTTCCATGGATATGGGGTCCAGAGCAGGCGAAGGCATTTGATGAAATAAAACTCATTTTGACTAACTCTCCTTGCCTAGCCATTTACGATGTAAATCGGGAAACAATTATCTCCTGTGATGCCTCGCTTCAAGGACTAGGATCAACTCTTTCTCAAGTTCAAGATGATGGTTCTATACGACCAGTATCATTTGCATCCCGAAGCCTTCTTCCTTCTGAAAAAAACTATGCAAACATCGAGAGGGAGGCTACAGCTGTTGCTTGGGCATGTGAAAAGTTTCAAGAATTTATTATTGGCAAGAGAATAACAATACAAACAGATCACAAACCACTACTTCAAATTTTGAAATCCAAACATCTTGATGAATTGTCTCCAAGAATTCAAAGAATTCGATTGCGTCTCATGAGATATGATTTTTCAATTACTTATATTCCTGGAAAGCAGCTTCTAGTTCCTGATGCTCTTTCAAGAGCACCTCTCCCATTTTCATGTACTGATGACCGTGAGTTAGAAGAAGAAACTCAAGCGTTTGTTCAAATGGTTTTGTCGTCCATCGATATAAACGACTGCATAGTTGCTAAAGTATTGGAGGAACAAAATAAAGATCCGACTTTACGTGAACTGAAAAAAATAATCATCCAAGGTTGGCCTTCTAAGACATCATTACGAGATGACCTAAAACCGTATAATTCAGTTAAGGATGAGCTAAGTGTTGATAATGAGATGATACTACGAGGTTCAAGACTTGTAATTCCGCCAGCTCTGCAGTCTTGGGCACTTCAAAGAGTACATGAAGGTCATTTTGGAATCACCAAGTGTCGTTTACGTGCAAAAGAGTCAGTCTGGTGGCCAGGAATTTCTTCAGCCACTGAAAGTATGGTGAAATCATGCCCTACTTGTATTAAACATTCAAGGAACAGTCATGAACCATTGCTTCCCACACAATTCCCTGACAGGCCATGGAAAACACTTGCGATGGATTTGTTCAAACTTGAAGGCGTTTGGTTTTTGACTGTGACAGATTATTACTCCAGATATTTTGAGATATCTGAATTAGAGTCATTAACATCACGAGAAGTAATAATGAGATGCAAAGCCTTTTTCTGTCGACACGGCATTCCAGAAGAAATTAGGTCTGACTGTGGGTCTCAATTTCAAGTCCTTGAACATTCAGATTTCAAGACATTTTCCAAAGTTTATGGCTTCAAGCATATAACAAGTAGCCCAACATTTTCCCAAAGCAATGGAGAGGCTGAAGCGGCAGTCAAAATTGCCAAAATGATTCTAAAGAAAAATGTGGAAGACCCTTATTTAGCGCTTCTAGCCTATCGAACGACACCCCTCTGGAATGGGTTCAGTCCCTCTCAGCTTCTTATGAACAGGCGATTACGGAACACATTGCCTCAGACAGGACATTTGCTTTGTGGAAAACCAGATCTAAAGGATCTTAAAGGGAGAGAAGAAACATATCGTGAGAAGTACAAACACAACTATGATAGAAGGCACAAAGTGCAAACTCTCAATCCTCTTCATATAGGAGACCCAGTTTGGATTGTGGACCTTAGAAGACATGGCAAAATTGTGAAAATCCTGGACAGCCCTCGTTCATATATTGTTGAAACTGATAAGAGGAATGTGAGAAGAAATCGATTCTACCTCAAACTTGCCCCTTATTTAAGAGAGGAAAACAGTGAACAAAATTTGTCAGCGAATACACATCAAACAGAACCATACAACCGTCCAAAGAGAAATATACACAAACCAAGCTGGTTGAAGAACTTTCAAACTTAAAAGGGAGGATGTTGTGAGAACAGTTTATTTCATAACACCTGTTAATTTCTATTAATTATTATCATATGTTTATTTGTTATTCTATGTTTGTAAAAAGGTAAATAAAGTGAGTTGAGTTTGAGTTATGACATAAAACAGTGCATTCACTTAATTCTTAGTAAAATAGTACAGGTACTTTTTCTACTTAGGAAGTAAAACTACAAACGTCCAAAACCCCAGATTTGTGCGTTTTTTGTCACATTTCCTCCGAATGTTTGCTAGATATGTGTACCGATTATAGTTTAGAGATTACGTAATCTTTTAAAAAAGAAACCTTTGTTTGGATAAAGGTGGTTTCTTCAAACAGTCATTAATATGTTAACATTAAAAGTTGCTTACAAATAAATGGGAAATAACTATAATTTTCGAAAACTTAAAAAATTAAAACCAAGGGAGATTAATGGCTTCGGTACTGCACCACATCAAGTGAATGTTTTTTTTAGCAAACCATATATAATAATATAATAGTGAGTTTTTAAAGCTTTACGTTGTTAACGTTACATGTTTTGTGGCCTGTGTATTTATTTATTTATATATTTTCCAACGAATTACCACCTATAATACAGTTTGATTAGAAGGACAGTTTGAATTGGTCGTAATCGTAAGTACTATAGTTCTTTTCTTAAATGTAAACGTTGGTTTTTGGTACTGCTACTTTTCCTTAGAACTGGTGGTAGCAGCAAGAATAATTTTTACGTACAAACACATCACTATTTACAACTATAGTTATCGTTAGTGCTGTACCTTATTTCTTATTAAATTTAATTGATGTCTTACTGTATATCATTTTATTGCGTTTTCTGTCTGGACTCCAAAATGTTACTTTATGCTATGAAAATGATAATACATTAGTGACCGATTTATTTAGCAAACCATCATGCATTTTTAAAGCTTGGCGTTGTTAACGTATAAATGTTTTGTGGGCTGTGTATTTATTTAATTATTTATATATTTGCCAACGGATTTACACCAATTTTACAGTTTGATTAGGCCTAAAAACGGTTATTATAAAATTTGATGACACTATCAAAACTTTCAAATAATTGTAATTTGCTTTGGTTAAAGCGTAGTAAATCCCCTAATTCATTTCTGTATTTGTGTGTGTAAGCCTGTTGGTAACGCATTAATGTCCTTATTTCTCAGTGTTTCGTGAAAAAAGAGCACCTTTGTTAATGCAAATTTCAACCCGAATAAAATGTGCAGTAGTGAGGTTGAGGTAGTATTTTTACTACTTTTAACCAGTGTGAAAAGTAACTTTCAATTACAGGCCTCCGTAAGGGCTATGACTCATAGATCTATAGAGCAGTTCCTTTTATCATTAGATATAAAATATGGACTAACATGATCGGTTGACACTTAATTGCGAAGCATTCGTTTTGGGTTTGAAACTGTCAGATATTGTGTTTGCGAAGGTTTATTATGTATTCCTATACAGTAATAGTTTTGCCAGCATATCTGGAAAAATGCACACTAAATATGCAAACCAACTCCTGTTCTGAATATAAGGTTTCAACCTACTACAAGATTCCCGTACGTAGAACGGGCAAACAGCTAGTTTAACTTATTTTTACTATCTCTTATGTCTCTTGTTTACAATCTGACTGTTGTTAAACAATTAACTAACGTAACCAGCTCTTAATCTAATCCACTTGAAAACCCGTTATAAAGAAAGTTACCTAATCATTAAAACTGGACCTTTGAAAGCATTCTTCAGACATAAAACAAAGCTAAGTGGCGAAAGCAAACATGTGTCTTTTTAATTACCACTCATCAATTCGCCAGATCATTAAGCTTTCAAATAACACCTCATTCGTAAAAATCAGTATACACCAGCACGGCCTGTATATCAAGTGCAGCCTTATCTCACCATCAAAATTTTTATTTAGTTTTTCTCAAAACTAATAAATTTTAACTAATATTCATTTTTACCTTTTGAACAATACCGTGCGGGAAACTTAAAAGATGTCAAATAAGGAAAATTATAATGCAGCTCAAGAAATAATTGTTAAATGCTGCTCAAAAAATAATTGTTGAATGCTGCAATAGAAATTAATCAGGAATATAATTATTTTTAATGGCTATTGTAATAACACAAGAACTCGTGTTACAAAATAAAACAGATTTAATCACGAACTTATATAAGCCAGTAAACATTTCAATAGGCTTGGGATTGCATTTGAGATTGAATTTCACTGATCAATTTTTGTTTTCTCGCTTCATGTCTGGCCACCATCGTATCTGTGAGTTTGTGCGTCACCCGAATCACTGGGAGGGACAGTATCCTCTTGATCTCTTGATATAAAGTGTAAAAATGATTGTCATCATGCAACGTCATTAACTCATACCTGACTGACTTGTAATGGTGCACAAAAACACAAACAAACATCGCCATAGCAACAACACTGCTGCGACTCAACATGTAACATAACACGTACAATCCGTTCACTTCGGTACTGCAGGGGAAGTATGGATAGTTGTATATTATGTAGAACATGTTTGAGGTGGAATACACATTGATGATGTTAGTCGAGATGTACTTCACAGGGAATGTTAGCAGTTGAAACAACATGAATGTTACAAATATCCAGTATATGTGCATAAAGGAACGAAGACCAGTTAAGAAGAATCTGAACACTGTCCGTCCGAATCTCCAAAATGAGTAGAAACGAAGCAAAATCAAAATATACAAGGTGCAAAGTAACGCTCTTGTAGTAAAATAATAATGCGTGATCTTGTAGAAGTCGAAGGAGTTGAGTTCGTCAGCGTGCAGTTGATACTCGGTGACGTAATGAAGAGCGGTAAGTTGATGAAGCAACAAATAGACAAGCACAGCCAAACCGTTGACTGTCATCAGCAGCTCGTGCACGCGATGCCAGTTCTTAAACAGAGCCAACACTCCGACAAAGTTTGTCAGCATGACGATTCTGACGCAGAGCATAAACACCATTAAGATGAACACTGTGAGCCACCAGTCCAGTTGCAGATTAGGGTCAACCGAGTGGACCACTGTTTTAGGCAGGATCTGCCCTGTGACTGTGTGTTCTGCAATCAATGTAACCTCCGAGAACAGACGTGTGTTGGTGTTGTACACCTTGATCTGAGCAAGGACCGCTCTGGTGTAATGTCCCAGCCATCCCTTCCGCAACAATTTGTTCAAAGACGCGCTAAAGTCTTCTCTAGACGCCTTAAGATCCCGTTTGTACCCTCCACTCGTGTAAGTCAATCCTGTTTCACCGTTGAAACTGAAGTTTGGATCGTCTAGAGGCCTGGTGTAGGACCAGTTACCCAGTAGTTCAATCCCAAGCCATTCGTCTGTTTCATTTAGATCTCCACGTCTCAGCCAGTACGGAATATAATCATTTGTGTCTTCAGATCCTCTACCGAATGGAGCTGCACAGTCCTTTGACGAATTCAAGTACGTTTTGCAATATTTCGGTTTCACTCTAAACTGTCTCAGTCGAAACTTCTCAATCATCCTACTGACACTGTCATGCAACCAGTCTTGTCTAAAGTACTTCAGTTCAGATTCTCGACTAAGAGGTATGTAGTTGTACCAAGAGTACCTAAAAAGATAAGGCTCGCAGTGTTCCTGCAAGTAGGAGTAGTAGTCCGATGTGTTGTGAACTTTGTCAAAATCACCCATCAAAGTGCGCAGATGTGCATTGGTTTGGTAAACAATGGACATATTTGACGTTAGTATCGCACCGAGCACTATGAGGAACAACAACTGTACTAATAGTTGGTACAACCTTTGAAGCCTGCCAGTCCTTAGCATCTTCTGTCTGTGTTCTTCATGGAAGACTTCATTCAGTGATCGATAAGTGGGTTGAGATCGTAGGTGTACGAGATTAGACAAGTATTTAACATTTCCAAATAAATTTGTCTGTTTGCCTTCTGAAGGGTCAAAGGTGTAAACGTCCTTGTAAATTATGCGTTTGAAGAAGACTGCTAACAGAGCTGAAATACATATAATTTTTAAAGGTAACAAAATAAACACATGGAATATTATTGAAAGAGCCACAACTGTTAACCACTTTTCAGTCTTTACAGGAGGAAGGTTTTTTGATAAAAGAATACTCATTGTTAAGCAACCCAGTGTGATTAAGGAAACTGTAATCCAAGATGTGTATAACCAAATCTTATCAATAACAACGTTAGGATCATCTCTTTCCAGCCGGACAGGAACTAATGGCTTCGGCATCAACATCAAATTAACAGATTCACACAATGTCCTCTTCTTCAGAACCCCAGTCTCTAGTTGATGTCTCCGGCCGTAGTGAATATAAGTCTTGTCTTCAGTCAGCGACATAGTCGAGGGCGAACACAAATAATCCTCATGTATACTTATTCTAGTGACTCTTTTCGTATTTGCTTTACCTTCTCCGTGTGTTTCTATGTAAAATATTATCTTGTATATCTTTCTAAACAAATGCATCAATACAAATGCTACAATAGCTGCAATGATACAGGTATACATGCCCATTTCCACCATCAACCATGTCAAAGAATAAGAGAACTCGTCTATTTCCAAAGCCTCGTCGTACATGTTGATAAGTGTTATGCTAGCAGCCATTGATACAACTGTGTAAGACACGATGATAGCTAGTCTGTCTACCCGAGTAACTGGGTCTCTCGCATGTCTTGTGACTGTGGCGAGCCAAACATGGGAGAGATGAAACTCCAACTTTAAGTAGTCCAGGAATACTCTCGGTGGACTCTTTATTGCAGAATATGTTGATGGTAATAAACTCGCCTGAGGGAACCTCTTTGAACTTAAAGTGATCCAGTCATTTACTAGGAAATAGTAGCAGTTCTTATGGTGTAAATCATAAATAATTATAGAATCACAAAACCAGTGAGGTCTGGCTCCTGCATTGTCATGCCAGATGTCCAAACAAGATATTTCTCCAAGAGATTCAGCTTCGTAGATCAAAAACCAGTCCTCTCCTCTTGTACCCATGACCTCGTGTGTTTTACTTGTCAAAACGTGTCTTCGACCATCATTCGATGTCCCATAAATTTTTACACCCACAGCTGCGTCCGTGCCAGCTCCGAACCGTGCTCCAGTCATAACGCAGACTAGATATCCATGACGCTCACCTGGTAAGTTATCCGGTAGTATTGATACTAGTCCTGCAGTTCTTTCATAACGGTCGGCCTTCCAGCAGATTAGTGCAAACAGAAGTAGTGAGAGCAAGAGAATTAACAGAGTTTGATGTAAAGTTGTATTAACTCCTCTTAAGGTAAGGAACAGTGATACGTCACTCACAACATCCAGATATAGTGAAACCTCTTTTACTAGTCCACCAATCAAAGACAGTCTGCTACACCTACATGCAAGATTGTCTGTTAGGTTATCATGCGTTGCTAAACATCCTCTAGTTTCCCACACGTCATGAAAGGTGTAACAATTCTTTGAATACATTTTTACACCAAAGCTTATTGTACGAGTTTCATTTATGTGTATCTCGTCGCTGGGTTGAATCGCCATGTAATAAAGATGCTGGACATGCGAGGATTCAGTAACAATATGGAGCTTTGGACTAGCAGCCGAAATATTCTTTCCCTCCGTCATAAGCATTTCGTAAGTCGGTCTGATGCCTTTCCTTATAAGCACTACTATATCCACGTTGTCGTCCAATTTAAATTCAGCCTCTACAATCGCTGAAGGCATTGGATCAAATCTGTAAACAGGCAAGTTCTCGTCCAATACATGTCCTACCGACGGATTCAGCCTTGTGAGTGAAACGTTTTTGAAAGGTATATTTGAAATCAAATTAGACACATTAAATTTTATCATTATTTCATCTCGTAGAAAAAATGGTTCACGACAAGTGTGATAGTTCTGGATCCTATAACAAACCGACACATCGATTGTGTATTCCGTGTTTGTTTTTATCACCCAAGTTGGATTCTGTCGAAAAGTTGTTATAATCAAAGTCAATGTGTTTTCTATTTCTAGTCTTGATTCTAACTGAATTAATTTTCTGAGTAGTTCTGGGTAGTCTGCTTTAACCCACAAATCAATTTCCCCCACACTTGTTTTTATCACTTCATGCAACTGTGAAGGAAGTTGTCTGTACATTAGAGATGATTTTATGAAAGACAAGGTTTTCTGAACATGTTGACAGATATTCTTTATTTTCATGTATACATTTGTAACGAGTTATTTTTCCCAGGGGGGTATATTTTCGTTATTTGGGCCGCGCGTCTGTTGAGGTAAGCAAGCGGCGGCGGCGAACCTGGCTAGCGCTCTTTGACCCGGCTTATCAGTTCGGATAAGCTTGGGTATCCCGGGACTACTGGACAGCGGAGAACAGACATTCTAGTGGTGGATCCCGGACAGTGAAGAAGGCAGTGTTGGTGTCCTGTGTAAACGGCTGGCGTACGTGGGAGGTACAGAGTGTACGTGGTGTGATCGCGCCGAGTATTGGTGTAAGTTGGGTACAGACGGTACAGACCCACTGTTGGTGAGTGGACGACGTTCCTTACACTTTGGTTTAAGATTTGATTTAATATTAATCTTACACTTTATTGCGAGAGTTAGAGTTGTAACCGTGCTGGTCAAAGCCTGACGGTAGTTAGGATTTATATTAGTCAGGAATAATATTTAAGTGTATTCCTGACGGTTCTGGGCAGGTGCTAGAGCGCAAATAATATAATTTAATTGACTGTAGTAGTTATTATTTTGCGTTGTACCTAGAGTTAGTTATATTACTAATAACTCTGAGGCCCGACAAACCTAGGCTGCACGATTTAGCGTGCGTAGTTGGAAGCACGAGGCCAGTAGGCTAGTAGCTAGTTTTATTAGCCTATTAACAGAAGCCCGGCTAAGCAATATAACGTTGATATAGTAGCAGTAGTGGTAGTAGCAGTAGGGTTGGTATTGAGTAATCATTTAATTATTTTAATTTAACCTGAACCGCTTGCTTAGTAATCCAACACGTTAGCTTGGTAGCTTGGATAGCGGAGTACCGGCTATCAGATAATATATTTATCTAGTGTTTGGAACGTATTTAATATTTATTTATCTGCTACTAAGTAGCTCAATATTTTAATAGTGCAATTGCCATTTAGTTTTGCTTGTTTGGCTTGGTATTTATTGAGACCAGCTACTAGTGGTGTAGTCACTCTACCTATAGTGTACTTGTATATTATTATGTGGTACGATTATTGAGTGAACTGTTTGATTCTTAGCTTGGGCATTAGAGTTGTGTATTGGATTATAGTGGCCTAGTAGACCCCGCCTGGTGATAACACGCGTTGTGGTTTTTATTGGCAAGTCGTCGTGTAACTCACCGTGTTTTAGGCACTCTGGGCTTAACTATTGGATAGTTAGGACGAAGCCCGAGTTGCGTAGTCAGCAACGACCCCCTAGGAGTGTGGAGAATCGGCGTAGGCCTGGTAGTGATTATTGCACGTTTGTTTTGGTGACTTGTTTTTGACTTGTTCACAGTGCCCGTGTATGAACCAGTCCTATACCGGTTAGACCCGGCTTTTGGCCTAGTGGTTTCCCTGACCTTGTCGCAGACCCTGGAATTTTACCCAGCCATTGTAGGCTTCGTCGCAAGTTGGCGCCTGCGAACAGGGACTGAGGTTGGCAGGTTGGCAGTGGTGCTGAGTTGCTGACGTATTAACGGCGCCCGAACAAAATAATTTTATTTGTGCAGATTTGCTGCGGACTTGTGCAGATTGGCTGCGGACCTGAGCTGTTGAGCTGAGTTTTAGGCAGACCTGCTGTGATTTTATAGTCGGTTGGGTAGGCCTAACCTGTTTTCTGTTACAGCGTGGTGTGTTGTGAACCCTAATTTATTTAGTGGTTGTATACATAGATATTAGTTAGTAATTTTAATTTTGCTAATTAATTGAGCCTTATCATTGAATATTATTTGAGTGAGAACCCTTATTGTGTATTTGTGGTTTGACTTTCACACCTATAATTGGTTTGATTTATTATAACGGTGTTAAATATATTTTAATTGGTTACGCCCTTATTTTTGCGGATTTGTTGTGGTGTTTTGAATTTTAAATATGGTTGTGACTACGAGTACGACGTCTGTGCTGGGCGGTACGCCTATTACGTCTGCTATTGCTACGACGAGTTCTGGGGTTAGCTCCGAACTGTCGGTGATGACGACATCGTCATTGTGGCCGGCGTCTTCGCCCGTTTGGCCGACAATTTCTTCAGTAGTGGCTACGACGGTGACAACTTCGTTGACCTATTCCGCGCCAGCGACTATGTCCTTGGGGTCGCAGCCCCGGGACAGTCGCGTGGGTTGGATCTATGACCTCTCGAAAGGGGAGCTCATGAGAACGATGGACCAGTATGGTTTGGTGACCACTGGTACTTCTGCGGAATTACGGCAGCGATTCTCGTCGTTTTGGAAGCAGCGGAATGCCCGTCGGTACAGCGATGATAGGCTGTGTACAGCTGGGGCTGCTGCACCGACATATTTACCGCCCGCTACTACAACTGTGGAGCTTCCTAACCCCCCGAGAACCGTACCTCAGGTACTGGGTAATACGGAATCTAACAAAATAGAGATAGGGGAACTTAGCAGGGAGTTAGAGGCGGTCAGAGAGATTCTTGGGTTGTCTTTGGAGACTGATACCCGGACTCTTCGAGAACAACTTGCATTGGTGGTGCGACAGGCGAGGGGCTCGCCGAGTAATGAGGTCGGCTATGGGTTCGAAAGACCCGCCAACCCTATGTCCCCCGTTGTGGCTGCTCCCATGCCTACCTTTGGGTTACCAAGTAGACCCGAGGGATGGCAGCGACCTAGTGATCATTCGGAGAGACCAGTCCGTCCTTCTAGCGAGGAGGTGCCACGTGGATCGGATATGCTCTCGAATGAGGCCAGCAGGCTGGAGCCGAAGGACTGCTCCAAAGTATGTAACACGGTACGGAAGTGGGGTTTGAGGTTTGATGGCCGACGAGACCCTGTGTCGTTCCTGGAGCGTCTTGAAGAGCTGATGGTCTCGTACTCTATAAAATCAGAGGACCTGCTCAGAGCGCTGCCGGAGCTGTTGCAAGGCTCAGCGCTTCTATGGTACAGGAATTGCAAGGAGCTCCTGTATTCATTCGAAGCTTTTCGGCATCAATTTGAGATCCAGTTCCTTCCACCTGGTTATCAGAGGAATTTGGATGAGGAGATCCGGAAAAGGACACAGGGTGAAGGCGAGCACTTCCGGGACTACGTTGTTGCCATAAGTACCTTGCTTAGGCGTAGCGGTACGTTGTCAGAGCATGGTAGATTGGACTTGATCTACAACAACATGCGACCTGAGTACAAACTCATGGTGCGACGGCGGGACTTCCGCAATCTGGCCGAGATGGTTGAGTTGGCCGAAGACTACGAGGCCTATCTGCGAGAGAAGGCGGCCTTTAGACCTCCTCCTTCTCCGAACGTAGCGCTGGTTTTGGAAACCGCCTACACACCCAAAAAGAAGGTGGAGAAGCGCGCCGAAACTGCCGCCGTCGAGAAGCGGAGTTTCGAGAGACCATCTCCGGAAGCCGAGTCGCGTGGGCGGGTAGCTTTGAAGTCGGATCGGGTCCATGGTCAACGGCCCGTGACAGCAGCTAGAGTGCCTGAGGGTCCAAAGGGGACGGTGAAATGTTTTAGGTGCCAGGAGATTGGTCACTTTGCCCGAGAATGTGGTAAACCAAGGACCGTCTCCTGTTTTGGGTGTGGCGAACCTGGTTTGACGGTGAGTCAGTGTGGATGTCGTGCGGGAAACGGCAGGCCAGCTCAGATATCAGGAGGTCAACTGGGCAAGGCCACCCAAAACGAACGACCTCAGAAGAGTGGTCCGAGTGGCTCGGAAAACTAGACAGCCTGGTTGGTGGAGTAGACGAGAACCGGCTGGTTTCGGAGACAAGGCCCTTTGTTGAAGTTGTGCTGATGGGCAGCGTTTTTAAGGCGTTATTGGACACTGGGTCCGTAGTTAACCTGGTTGGGCGAGAAGTCGCCGATCATCTTCAACGCCAGGGGGTAGAACCTTTTAAGAAACCCTCTCCTCTAAGGATGGCAGATGGGTCGCGGTCTAGGGCCGAGTATTCGTTCCGATTGG